CCCCTCCCCGGCGGCGGCCGGGGCAGCCAGTGCGGGGAGCAGCCCTCCGACGCCTTCCAGGTGCTGAGCCTGCTGCTGCTGCTGCTCACGTGCGCGCTGCCCTTGGGCGTCAGCCTGGTCTGCTACTGCCTCATCTCGCGCCGCCTGCGCCGCCCGCCGCACCCGGGCCGGGCCCGGAGGAACTCGCTGCGCATCATCTTCGCCGTCGAGGGCGCCTTCGTGGGCTCCTGGCTGCCCTTCGGCGTCCTGCGGGCCGTCTTCCACCTGGCGCGCCTGGGGGCGCTGCCGCTGCCCTGCGGCCTGCTGCTGGCGCTGCGCTGGGGCCTCGGCATCGCCACCTGCCTGGCCTTCGTCAACAGCTGCGCCAACCCGCTCATCTACCTGCTGCTGGACCGCTCGTTCCGCGCCCGCGCCTGGCGCGGGGTCTGCGGGCGCGCCGACCGCCCGGCGCGCAGAGACAGCTCGGCGTCCTCGCTCTCCAGGGACGACAGCTCCGTGTTCCGGAGCCCGGCCGGCAGCTGGGAGCGAGCCCGGACGGCGAACGCTGGCCGGGCCCTGCTGTAGCTGTCCCGCGCCCGGCGGAGGTGGCGGCCCCGGAGCCCGCAGGGGAGGGAGGCCCGGGGAGGGGGGTGGGGGGGGCGGGAGTGGGGGAGACTCCCCAGACGAGCCTTCTCGGCTGGGGGCCGGCACTGCCCGGACTCCCAGGGCCTCCTTCATTAGCTTCCCCAGAACCTCAGCGCTTTTGGAACTCCCGCCCCCAAACCAGCCTGCTGAGAACAGCTGTTCTCTCAGCCCAGTGAGCAAGTGGGGCTAATTCCAGTTCAGTAAAGGTCCTATGAGATGGAGCAGACCGCAGTCTGGACACCCACAGTTTCGCCAAGTAGAAGAAAGGGAAGTGGTTTCCTTCTCTGCCCCACTAGGAATAGCGCTGGCCAGAATACCAAACCCAGACCCCCCAAAAGCTACTGTTGTCTCCAGCTATGCTTTCTCTGAACCCCTACAAGAGCCAGTCTTCTGAGAAATACCTTCTCGAAGTCAGACCCTCTGGCCCTCTCACTCTACAAGAAATTCTATAGATTATGGGAATTGACAGCCCTTTTGTATTTAGTCAGCTTTGTGTGCTCACCAAAGCCATGGGAACCAGCCCCAGTGTGCGCTGCCCAGTTTATTCCTCCTGACAATCTCCCGGAAAGTGCTAGGCCTACCCTAGTTTTGTATCCTCTCCCCAGTCCCGTGAAGCGGACAGACTCACCCTGGAAATTATCTTGGCCCTTTCCTCTGGACAGAAGATTCTGAAATCTTTCGCCAGACATTCAGATTCTCTATCACTCAGCCAGGGCCACCAGAATCATCTGTGTCAGTTCACCTTTCTCAATAAAAACTGTTGCTAGCCTGAGCTCGACAATCATGTCTTTCTTTACTTGAGTAGTGGGAGTGAAATGAGTGTCAGGAGAAAAATCCAATAGTGGATCAGACAAAATTCAAACCAGTAGCTGAGGTTAACCTCAGACGATCAGGACTTAGTGTGATGTCAGAGACCTAGACAGCTGCACCATTTCGGGAGCAGTAATTGTACAGAAAGGCAACAAATCCTTTATTTTAAAGGACATTTCACATTTTGAAGGTTACAGAGGAAAAAAGATGTAAGGGCATCTGCCAGCCAGGTGTCACTTCAAAGAGGAAATGAGTCCCTGTGATTTTTTGAATATGTACTGGGCATTTTTTCCTATCCTTTTTGAGACCATCTATCCATTTTCTGACTTTGTGACTTACCCTTTGAGGGTTTGGGAATTCGGTGTTTATACTTTTGATTTAAGAGGATTTGCCTAAAGGAATGTCAGTCAGTGCAGGGAAAGGAACGTAATTCTCCTTGAGAACCACCTCCCAGCCAGATCTCCACCAGCCCAATCATAAAGTTGCAGGCTCTGGGGGCAGCATCCACTGAGATCAGCACTTCAGTGCTAGGTTGGGTCTGAATCCTGGGCATTCATTCTCAAGCTGCTTAACCCCCTACCTAATACCACTGCATTTGTCTTTAGCCTTTGGGGCTGTTGGATTAGAGTGGATTGAATGTCACACCCCACCGTGACCCCACCTGTCAGCTGTCCCTAGTAGGTGAGGTTGTTAAGAAAGGTTAAGCACATTCCTCCCACACACCCAGAGAGAGGCAAGACTTGCAGCCTGTGGGGTCCTTGGTGCCAGTAGGACAAATTTCAGACACTCTTGCGGTTTAAGAGCTCAAGTATATCATGGCTCTTCCTATCCTCACCCTTGCTCTCTGATGCAAGAAATTCTTTTTCGCTGGGGTGCCTGGCTGGCTCAGTCCAAGGAGCATGCGACTCTTGTTCCTGGGGTCGTGGGTTTGAGGCCCACATTGGGTGTAGAGATTACTTAAATAAATCTTTAAAAAAAAAAAAATTATTCTGTGTCATACGGCGGGCTTGCAGGATAGGGAAGCTAGCTCTCCTGTGGGTTGGGATGTGGCGAAACCTCAGCTTACAGACCAGGCACTTCTCTTGGCTGTTCTGACTGAGGTGCCACTTCTACTCCCACCAATATACGTCTCCTGACTTACTGACTCATTGAGCTCCCTGAACGCAGACAGGAAGAAGGCTTCTCCATGCCCAGGTTTCTTCATAGCCCTTCTGGAGTACTTATTGAAACTCAGCATTTACTTCCCGCTGCAGAACTCCGGCTGATGGGCTGACGAGGAGAGAAAGTTCCCTCCCTTTGTTTCAGTAGGTCACTGAATTAGTCTGCCTTGTGTCCCTTGGAAATTTTCTTTTATATGCACACAAGAGCAAAAGAGGACCAGGAAACTTACAGTTTTCACTGAGGAAGACGAGGCGCAGGTTCAGGAAAGAGTTAAATGAGCACTCCCACATATATTGCCAGCAGGAGAGTTAAAGGGCAGATTCTTTTTTCTTTTTTTTAAGATTTTATTTATTTATTTGACAGAGAGAGAGTGCGCACAAGCAGGCAGAGCGGCAGGCAGAGAGGGAGAGGGAGAGGGAGAAGCAAGCTCCCCACGGAGCAGGGAGCCCCACCCGGGGCTCGATCCCAGGACCCTGAGATCCTGACCTGAGCCAAAGGCAGACGCTTCACCGACTGAACCACCCAGGCCCTCAAAGGGCAGGTTCTTCTAGAAAGCAATTTGTCAATCAATACCCAGAGCTTTAAAAAATATTCATATCCCATCCCTCCAAAATGTCCTTTCCCTGTGACCCTGTGATTTCATGTCCGCCACTCTCTTCTGAGACAATAATACTAAGAAAAGTTTGATGCACCAAGTTCTAAAACATTCTTAAAGACTTCACCTGGATGGGAACAACTTGAATATCTGGTGGTGTAATGCCCTCATTAATATAATGGGCTGTTGTTAGGCAAATTTTTAAGATGTTGCTGAAAAGAGAGATTAGAAAATGTTGACGATAAAAGAAAAGAAGGTAACAAAATTGCGTGTGTTGAACACCCACTCGCTTCAAGCTCAATAATTGTTAGATGGGTTTTGGTAAAGCAAAACCTTACATGCCACCACGTCCCGTGGATAAAAACTATCTTTCGCTCTTTAGCACAAGTTTTAAGCATCAGGTATGTTTCTTTTCTCTTGGTGCTAAGGAAGGAAATGCCATCTGTCTTACTTCTTTGTTCATTGTTGGTCTCTGCCATCAGAATTTGGGCTCCATAAGTGAAAGGAGTTTGTCTGCTTTATTCAGGGCTGTAACCCAATGCCTGGGACCCTAGCTGGCATGCAGTAGGCGCTCATTAACTGCCTGCTGAAGGAATGACCATCAGAACCACACCATAATATGAAATGATATGACATCTTGTGAAGAGTAGGAGGAAGGATATGTCATTAAGTATGTTCGATAAAAGGGCACATGAGAAAGTCTAGAGGAAATTCAATAAATGTCAGCAGTGATTGTGTCAGAGTAAGGGGATTATAGATCCCTTCCCCCGTCCATCTCTTTGTTCTCGAAAATTTTATAACTTTTTTTTTTAAGGGAAGTTATCAAAGGGCCGTGAAACTGCCAAAGCACTGGGGCTAACTAACATCGGCCTGGGTCCTGCCTCCCGCCGCCACACTAGCTGCCTGTCCTGGGGTGTCTCTCTGCCGCGTGAGCCTCACTTTCTTCATCTGAAGGATGGAGATGATTATGTCTGCCTGGGCTGCCTGGTAGATCAAAGGAAATCATGTTCTTGAAAGTACTTTGTAAGCTGTGGTGTTTTAGACAAACCAACCACAGGAGCCCCGCCTTGGGATTATCTCGTTCCAGGCCCTGCTGCCCCCTCCCCATCCCCATCCCCATCCCTGTTACCACCCCCGCCCCTGCCCTCACCCTCGCTCTGCCCTCCGCTGTGGAGGCGAGAAGGGTGGAGCTGCTCTGGGGTTTTAAAAGGTCAGCATCAACTATACTCAAATTTAAAAAAAGAGATAGATTAAAAAAAAAAAAAAAGGTCAGCACCTGGTCAAAGGCTGGGCACATTTGCCCTGTGTGATTCTGACTTCATTCTTGTGACTAATTCTGGGCATTTTTTTCTCACCTCCCTTGATCCTCGGGGTTCTTTCTCAGGGCATAGTGTGGGAACCCAGGGCTCCCCCTCCCCCCCGGGGTGATGAGTGATCTGAGGAGTTCAGAAGAATGACAGAGCTGGCAAAGCTGTGCTCGGTGACAGGACTCAGCCCCCGTGTCATTCTGAGGGTAAAATGAGGACTCTGGACACTTGTGAGGGCTTCCCAGGTGGTAGATCTTACCAAGTCTAAATCCCTCCCTTGCCGGGGCTGAGTGACCCGCAGGAAGCTTCTTACCACTCCCTGTCCTGCACCAAGCCCCCCAGCCTCAGGCGAATGGGGCAAATGATAGAAAGACCCATAGCCAACAGACCAGGGAATGCTTGGAAAGTGAGAGGGAAAGAGGAAGCGAAGATGTGCAATCGCTCTTCCTCTTCACGATCACCAAATCAAGAAGTATGTAATGACATCTTCCGTGAAAGCAAACACTGCCTGGGATTCACATTTACTACATCACAGTACTATAGAGCTAGAAACCCATTTTGTCCATTCTAAGAAGAGGACACTGAGGATCAGAGATGGGAAGTCACTTGTTTAAGGTAATAATAACACCACTTACATCTGTGTAACACGCCACAAATGTTTAAAAAGCACAAACACATGATTTCATCAATTCTCATGACCCTGCAGCAGGCAGGAATGATTAGCTTCATTTTACTGACGACGAAACTGACAAGTAAAGAGGCTTGGTCAAGGTCACAGAGAAGCAAACATTTGCCGCTCAAACCTTTGTCGAACCCTCCTGCCCTCTCTTCCCCTGCGACACCCAAAGAGGCGCTCTCTCCATTCTGAACCCAGCTCACACTAGGCGACTCCCTGACCCAGGCTCTCTCTTAAAAATTTTAAGAATTTTAAGAATTTTTAAGAATTTCCAAGACACATACCATATAACCTCACTTACATGTGGAATCTAAAAAAAACAAGACAAATGAATAAACAGATAAAAAGCAGACTCAGACCTAGAAATACAGAGAACAAACTGGTGGTTGCC